ACAGTACTTTTATTTTAATGATTATGTCCTGCTGAAATATGGATAGTTTTTATTTTTTACAATAACAAACTGGAATGAAAACAAGCAAAAAGGAAATAAACGTAACGACTTTCTACTTCTTGCCTTTTTTAAAAAATGTAAGGAGTAAAAAGTACAGATAATTATGTGAAAATGTAAGGAATGGAAGTAAAAAGTAGGCTGAAAATTATTTACTCAAGTAAAGTACAGATACTCAAAAGTTCTACTTAAGTACAGTAACAAAGTATTTGTATTTAGTTACTTTACAACTCTGCTTGTAATATTGTCATGTACAGTTTTTCAGTCCAGCAGATGGGACCGTTTTCTAAATGACACTTAGTTTACACTTATCATTAATTTTGTACATTTAAAGACAACTGATGACGTTTTATGTCGTGTTTGTTGTGTTTTCAGTCTTACACACAGGTATACGTGTGAAGTTGTATTTGAAGAAATAAAACGCAAGATAGAAAAACCACTGAAAAGAGAAGATCTAAACAAAACGTCTCCATTCTGAATCAGTGTTAACTTTAGGTGTACAAACTGAACTGTGACCACAGAATCTGGTCAATAAATAAATGCACTTCACGAGTCATGACTGGAAAATACAGATTTCATAATAAGGTTTTTATTCTTCCATGTTGTCAGCCTGTAGCGCTTGTTAAATCCGTTGTAACAACATATCTTGTTGTCATCAGCTACAGTCAATAATCCACTCAGCCCGGCTGACACTAACAACAACACATCATCAGAACTGTTTCCTTTAGTCCGAACCGTTCTTACCTGGTGTCGTCAGTTAATTTCTTTCCGGGCCCCGCAGACTTAAATGTAATGTCTTTTTTAATGTCTTCGAAAAACTTCCTCATCTTCAATTGTTGCCAGTAAAACCCAAACTATTAGCAACAGCTTCAGAGCACCTCAGCTAGCAGATGAGGAAGAAAACAACAATCTGAGGAGGAAAAGCTACTTCCGGTTCATGAAACGAACGTGTCGCCACCTACCGGCGGGAGTGAGAACTGCACCAAGAACAACCGGTCCTGCATGAAGCTGTTTGTTAGTTTAGAGTAGAAAAATGCTTCTTCTTTTTTTTGACACACAGAACAGTGTTTTAAGTATTCTCCTCCAAATCATACTGATGTGAATTGATCACACTGTCATTTGCATTCAATTCTTTTCAGTTTATTTATATTGTAATGAATCCACTCGACAGCCGAAGTCCCGATGAACAGGGTTTTATTTTCACTTTARTGAGCTGCTATTTTCGGAGGCTACAGCTCACGCCTCGAACAACAGAACCCGGAACTCTCTCCCCAAAAAAACCCGCCAACCACAACAACAAACTTCCGGTCC